ATCCAACCAATCATATTCAATCGCTCGGTAAGCATGCCTAGCTGCTTTGCTGTCTTGAACTCGCCCATTGTCGTGTAACCGTTTCGGAACGCAGCCTGCGGCGTGTCACGTGTCAAGTGCGCGAGTGGTGGGGAGAACGGCGCAGGCGCAAGACTGTTTTTAGGTTAGGAGGAAACTGGAAGAAACAGCTGATTTAGATCTTCATGCGAGAAAAACTTAGAGGTTTATCGGAGTGATAAAATCAATTTGCTCCGATGATCCCGGCCGCCACGGCCGCTCTTCGGGGTCAGCCTTAAAAGGACCTTCCGGGAGAAGTCGTTCGACGATTGAACGTTCCGCAACAGCTGACGAATCATCTGCATGATTTAAACGATGGCAGGCTCAGCGCTTAGACGATTGATGGCGGAGTACAAACGTGAGAATCGGCTTTTTATTCTCCTACACCGCAGTAGCGTTAGCTCGCAGTTAGCTTGCTTATTGACGCTTATTCGAGGCTTTTCCCGCGAAGCAGTAACGCCTGCACTATGACGATCTTGCAGAGCTAACCTTGAACCCGCCGGAAGGCATCATCGCCGGCCCGATTAACGAGGAAAACTTCTTCGAATGGGAGGCCCTCATCACGTAAGTTCTCTTTCGATCTTTATCTCTCCAAATATCTTCCACTGTCAATTCGTACTTGCTATGTTATACCCAGTAAACGAGAATGGATTAAAATGGATTGAAATTTTTTTTCTATCTGAATGCGTCTAAATAGCCAATACTTTTTTTTATTTAATTGGATTCATTTGGGTTCAATTAGTTTCAATTGGATGCAATTGGATTGAAAAACTGCATTTCCTATTCACAATTTTAAATTAAACAGTATTCACAATGCACAGAAAAAACTGATATTATTTTCAGATTGAAAGGCATAGAGATATGCTCCATGCTATTCCTATAAATGAATAAATATTCTGGATTAAAAAGCATTCATTTTAATATTTGTGAATCCATATTTCTGAAAATCTGAATCCATTTCAATCCATTTCAATCCATTCTTATTTACTGGATATACAGCTTTCCTATTCTGCTTTTTTTTTCTACCTTGATAGACTTGTTTTTCTGTCATTGCATTGGACTACGCTAAAAATCTTCTTGTTCTTTCGCCAAATTTCAAATATATATTAATTTTACTTGAAATGTATACTACTTCAGTTATAAAAAAAACCTTATGTTTAGTGCTGAATAAATAATATTTTTACGTGAATTTTTTCATAAATTTTTCAATAGATATAAGTTAAATATGATGGAATTTTTAGTGGACCAGAAGGAACCTGTTTTGAAGGTGGAGTATTTCCAGCGAAATTAATATTCCCTCCAGATTATCCATTAAGTCCTCCAAAAATGCAGTTTACCTGTGAGATGTTTCATCCCAACAGTAAGATTGCTATTAAACAAGATATGATGTATTTTAGCTATTAATTGAACAACGACAATGAAATTTTTGTCAGCTACAAATATGAAATTGTATCTTTTCTTTTGTTTAGTCTACGCGGATGGAAGAGTCTGCATAAGCATATTGCATGCACCCGGTGACGATCCAATGGGTTATGAAAGCAGTGCAGAAAGATGGAGTCCAGTGCAGAGTGTGGAGAAGATACTGTTGAGTGTAGTAAGTATGTTGGCTGAACCAAATGACGAGAGCGGTGCCAATGTAGATGCCGCCAAAATGTGGAGAGATGATCGTGAGGAGTTCGAGAAGATAGCTCAAAAGCTGGTGAGAAAGACTCTGGGCATTCCACCTTAAAATAGAATCCATCTGCTGAAAGAAAGGAAAAAGAAAAAGCTGGAGAGCGACGATTATTATTACTTTTGTCGGTCGATGGTATTCCTGTAGGAAACAATAAATTTTTACCTGTGCAGCAAATGAATCTTTTGTGTGCAAATACTTCTTTGTACGTTCCACTAATTATTTGCGCACGGAAATATTGTCGTGAATTTTACACTTACAAAAGGGAAAATCTTCTATGATACGGGAATCGAAAGTGTTAATCTCAAAAAATGTTTATTTTCAACATTGCAGTACAAACATGGGTAATCAAATACATACGCGATTATCTCATACGCTTACATATACCATTTCACTGTGACAAACCAATAACGAAGGACAGGATTCGTTTCGTGTGTTCGGGTGCGTGATTGATGTTAAATATAATATATATTAGTATTTAAAATTATCAACTGATCCCACAAATTACCCTACGGCGATGTTAAAGTAATTATCACATTCGCATATGGTGTTATATTATTCGCATGTAAATGTATATCGGCGAAAACGCATTACCAACTAATATGTTTGAATATCTTTTAATATTTGAGGAGAGAAATATATATTAAATAAATATATTTATAGTATTTCTTTTTTTTACAAAGATGTGTAATGGAAACAAGCGGAGTAGTGGTTCTTTCACTGAAAAATCATCTTTAGAAGACTCATAACAAGTTTGTCAAAATAGCGAATAAACTAAATTGTTCTCGCGGTCAGTTATATTCTTTTATATTTATGAAATCACGCGAGTGCCGATCGAGAGATCGTCAACATGATCTTGATAGAAGTTCCGGAACGTGTGTTGCCGCATCGTATTTACAAAATTAAGAAGTCCGCACAGTAGATTGATTATCGTGCACATCCCGCTCTGATAACAATCGAACTTGGTGACAAAGACGTGCAGGGTGTCCCACTTAAAGCGTCCCAGTCCGAGTAGCCGAACGATTGATTTGAAAGCAAGAGCTTCCTTTTAATTCTAGATATACACAATTAAAATTGTTTTTAATTAAAATTTTTTTCCAGAAAAAATCTGTAGTACTTTTTTTTTCATTGTTAGTGTCCCCTCGCAAATATGACTCCGAGTTGCTTTACGCAAAACACCCTGTAATTAGACTAGAAGAAATAAATTAGTACTCGTCGCGTATACAATAGATGATCTTTGCGATCGAATTGCAAGTATGACTTCAAGGATCAGACAAGTCCATTCTTCGAAATTATCAGCTCTTTATCGAACATATTCATTTATTTCATTGAGCTTTATCGATGCTTAGCCATGTCTGGATAACTTGTTTAAACATCGAAAGTGTATGCAAATGAAAAGAGCATTTGGTCAATTTTGGCAAGGCTCGAAATATCTAATGATTCAAAGATTAACTTTATTTTAAATCGAAAAAGTGCACTTGTTTGTTCCTCAGACCTTTGCAAATTGTACCTTCTCACTCTCGCCTTTTTTTGCTTGGATTAAAATCATCAGTAAAAATAAATACAAGATTTCGCACGTGAATTGGTATTTTATTAATAAACAATACTGAAGTCAAACTGAAAAATGCAGTATTTGTGACTAGCATTTGGCAATTATATGTAAATAATGTTTTAATGTACTTGTTTCGTACAGCCGAAGTACAACATCTTGTACACTTGTTTAACCCTAGGACACTATCTGTACATGCATCTCTGAGACGTACATGTATTGGTCTTTTCTGATCTCCGAAGAAGATTTCAACTTTTCAATATTTTCCAAAAGAAATTTCAGATCTTCTCAATTCTAAAATTATGGTAACATTTTAATTAGGTAAAATAAAATTAAGTCGAGTAAATTTTCGCATGTTCTTTTTTGCATTTTCCTCAAATGTATGCAATCTCAGAGAAGCATGATAAACAACTATGGAAAAGAAGAGTTAGCCTTCTAGGGTTAATTATAATTCTTTGATCCCTTTTCTTATATATAATCCCTAAATAATTTCTGTGCCAAATTTTCCGAATGTATATATACATACACCTAAAAACATAATTTATAAACAATTATGTAAAAATCTTTGTACGCAAAATTACGTCTTTAACACCGAACGAAAATACACAGATGTTGTACTCTGGGTACAGCTGCATACTTTGGCATACGAGAGAGGATGCATTTTACATTCTGTGCCAAGCGATAAGACACCGATCGATGTCGAATCTTTATCGAAACTCGATCGCGCCTCCGAACGAATCTGCCACATTTTTCACAACCAGGATCGGAAGCTTCATTTTATTTGCAAGGTATCACGTCGATATTACGCTTTAAAGATTCATTGCGAGTTAGTCGGAAAATCGAGAGCAAAGTACGCAACAGTGCCGGGACAGTCTGTATATGAACGCTCGACTCGTTTAACGTTTGCAGTGTTTCGCTTGTCGCGAGACGGGTCTAATATCGTGGCCGTCCGTTTATCAGTAATATCACATTTTGCTAGAAGAAGTGTACATTCCAAAGCAATCACTCTTTACAGCGTCGTGCGTGTTTGCGCACAACGACGACGAAAATGTTACAAATATACAAAAATGTTTGACACATACACTTCCTGTCGCCTAATCACGCAATAAACAATCGGAGACGGAGACTTGAGCTACTTTTACGAGCCTCTTCTAGGCTGTAAACGTGCCGTATTTGCGCTAAATTCGAGCTTCGTTATTTATCTTTAACATCTCGATTGATTATTTTAGAAAATTTCATGCTTTGATTATTTTTGCACTTGGCAATATTCTCTTGTCCGATTATTACATTTAGCTTCGACACGCTACAGCTTTGTAGGCCTCCCGCTTGGCGCAGAACGCTACGTTTCTCTTATAATTAATTCTTAGAGCCGGTTGCATCAACTGTAGTTAATGAAGACATTGATTAATATTTGTAATTAAATAAACTTTCATTTTCTCTCTTATCTATACATACTAAAACTATAATTTACAGAGAATTAATCAAGGTATAACTAAACTCGGAGGCGACAGCACTATTAGCGCTAATCAGAGTTATTAGAGTTTTAACTTGAATTAATGTAAATCGATTTAAATTAAATTAATTCAATTAATTAAGTTGACTTAGATTAAAACCAAACTAATTAAAACTTTAATTTAAATCAATTTGAATTATCTAATTTACAACAGTTAACTAAACTTAAAACTAAACTTAAAACTAACATAAATCAACGGTTAATCGAAAATTTGTCCATTACTCCGTTATTAGCTAGAATTATCATCTGTTGTCACGGTAATTAATTAAGCCTGTTAATGCAACTGACCCTTAAACATAATCTTATCGAATAAAACGCTCACGCTCCCTTACAACTAGAATTTCCTTGTAGTTGAAATCACACGTTTTGTCTCGCGTGTGTGTGTATGTGTGTGTGTGTGTATGTGTGCGCGCGTGTGCGTGTGTATGAGATGTGTGCAACTTATGCTGATGTAAATACGCTCGTTATAAAACCTTACTAATTCTGCTCTATATACGTATACCTCCCTCTGTGACTGTGAGGTATTGTGGTACCATTATTAACTATACGCACATGCCTTACAAACCCCACGCAGGACTCGCATAGTCCCCCTGGACGATCTCATTAATATTAATAGTAATTGTATTGCAAAATCTACCTGGTGGATACTGAGTACAAAATTTGTCAGTGTATACGTGTCTGTTTGCATGTGTGTCTGTGTATGCATACTGTGTCTAAAGCGCAAAAACGGAATTTCAAGCGACACACTTTCTAGACAAACATAAATCATATTCATTTGTATCTCGAGGTAATAAATCAGTCAACGAACCACTCCTCGATATCATTGAATGTTGAAAGAATGAGAAAGGGGACCTATGTATCGATAACGTATTCACGATTTTCAGTTACAAATTGCCACAGGAAGTTTTCCTTTGGAAGATCTATAGCAATACTAATGCCACATTGTTAAGCTCTAGGGAACATTGAAATATGAAAATTGATCGGAATAATCTACTTCGATAAAGCTTGCGGAGAAAGTTTGTGTCACTCTTTTATAATTCTTGAATGTATAATTAATAGTTCAAATAAAAATCATATAATAGAATATATAAAATTATATAAAAATATGTATAGAATTGCGCGGTACCATCAAAATCCGACTAATTTCGATGAACGTTATTGCACGACACTGTTTTTCAAAATTGTTTGAGCACAAAAATAAACGCGCGATTATTCTAATCACATGTGAAAATGAAGAATATAATTTCGCATAGCACTAGTCACTAATATTTCACTACTTTCCTTACTATTAACTAAATATTAATTAGTTTTAAATTGGTTACTTAAACGAATAAGAAATCATGTAACATTTGAATTGCGCATTGCGACTTTAGCTACCCTTTATATATTGCCAGAATATTTCCTTTGGTTATATATATTTGTAAGAGTTTTTTACAATCGAGATAACTTTCAATGGTTTCGCGTAATCGATTCGTAAAAGAAAAATGTAAGAATTTCTAACAAATATGATTCCGCATTATTCCATGCTTTTATCTTGTTGATTTGATCTTCTAGTAATCAATCAATTTAAATCAAATGAATCAACTCCAAAGATAATCTGAATTGTAAGAACATTCTATCTGCTACTGAGTTTAGCAGGAAGCACGACTGCAAAGAATAAACACTAAATATAATCTTCAACGTCACAACGAAATATTAATATTAATTTGCGTAAACTTCAACAGAAAATGGCAAGTATGGCACACAAAAAGATTCCATTCGACTATGCGTGTATCTGTCTGTCTCTCTCTCTCTCTTTCTCTCTCTCTCCTCCTTCCTTCGATATATACGCGTGTGTATATTTATATATGCACTTATATGTGTACGTATAAACGGATATTTTGTGCGTGGTTTATGTCACATGTAATCTTGCCATTCGTTATAGTCGATAAAAAGAAACTAGAAAGGGCTATACAGAATTTGTTTACGCTCAGTTCGATCGCGCGTTTCCTCTTTCTTTTTGCCTCTAAAGTTGTACTGCATAAATTAACAACAGAGATGTGATCGTCAAGTAATATTTGATAGGAGATGAACAAATGATTTCGCGTCGTGAATCTCCCCTCAATCAGTCATATTGACTATTCCGCAAACAGTTTTACTTTAGCTGCGATTCAAGCTGCACAGAATCATATCTCAAAGAAAGAAAATTATGTTATCTCAAAAATCTCGTGTCAGCGTAATACATACACAGAATGAATATTACGATATACAATATCACGATTTCTGTTGAAATAGAATAAAATTGATTTTTCATTCCTTTCCCTGGACAATCAAATCAAATTGAAACGACCATAACTTGCAGCTTTAGATATATAGTGCACACGGAAATTTCTTTATATATTCCTCTACTTTCAAGTTTAATCACAATACTCACTTTACGAATCGATACGCCGTAAATCGTCGAAGTCAAAATCACAAGCGCAAAATTATTAATCGTACATCACATCATCGACAATAGCAAAAATTCAAATCCTGAATTAAATTCCGGCATGTAAACGAAAATTTCATTCGATTATTAGTTGTTAATTATCTGCAATTAAATATCTCCAATTATGAATTCCTTTATATTGACTAAAATTTAGTTCTCAGCAGCAAATGTTAAATTTTTGCACACATGGACGGCAACTATGTGGAATTGTGGAGCTCTACACCCAAAATTTAGCTTAGTATGGAAATCCACACTCAAGTAATCCAAGAATTGGATTAAAAATCAACTATGAACTTTTTAAAATGTGCGCATAGCAGAGATTCAACTTAGGGATCATTTATACTGGTCGTAAGCGTATGCCATAGTAATATATAAGGAATGACTAATCGAGCATTTCTCTCTTACAATTGAATGAGAGGGGAATACTCGACTGTGATTAGTCAATTCTTACAAATTACAGCTAATATAAATAATCCATTACCGACTGTTAGACAGAGCGTCGCAATTCGCAATTGTAAAAAAGGGGACGGCAACAAAGAGCACAAAATAAATAAAAATAAAAAAGTGTCGTCATTTTGTACTCCCCTCCCTCCTTTCGTCAGTCAAAAATTCCACATCCACAGGCGCACTCAGAGAAAAAAATCGTATCAGTAACTATAAATTTGTAGTGAAATAGCGCCTCAACTATATACATATTATTAAATTCTAATAAGAATACTAGATTAAGTGAACTAAAAAAATATAGTACATTAACCATATAAACAATTTATAAATGGTTAATATTATTATATTTTCTTAGTTCACTTAATTTACTTATTGTTCTTATTAAAGGTTTCCTTCTTAGGAGAAACTGAATTCCGCTACGTCCCTCTGGTGACAAAGCCGCGTACTACTCGTACTGAGCGACACTTTAAAAATTTTTGTCTAAACTAGAAAAATGTAATTGTTATATCTATTTCCATGAAGTCCAAGTAACTACTCAATGTAGTTGAGTCACTATTTCACTACCAATTAATAGTGCATACAATTTGTTTCCGTGATTATATTTTTATAATATTCAGCACTACTTTAGTTTCTATTACTTTGTAAAACTATAGTTACAGGTACTTCAATTGCAAAAGTTGCCAAATTTATAGTTGCTGGAACTATTTCGTTTTCTCTCAGTGCGAGGTAAGTTGCCGTCCCTGTTTGTACATATATTTAATTAAACTAAGAAATTAAATTCATATACCCTAATTCATATAAACTCATATACCCTAATTCACATAAACTCAAAATTAATTGAATTGTAAAATAAATTGTACATTAATAACATATTTTAATACAACTACAAATGAAATTCCGTATATTCAGTCAAAATTTAATTCAGCGATCTTTTAAATTTTTGCACATCGATAGAATTTGAATCAAAACGGCGATGTAAATTTTTACATGTTGCGAAAATTTAATTAAACTGCGAATTAAATTTACGTTAACGCCGCGAGCGACGTTCGGCGCAAATATCTCTTTGCACAGAGAGCGGAGCGAAGGAGGGAAAAGTCACACGGCTATACCTCACGAGAGACCCTGTGGCGTGAAGCAGATCTTCTCTAATTCGCCGGTCGACGAGCTGACCGGCGATTCGGCTCGGTCATCCTGTTCGGCCGCCAGCTGCTCGCTGTAATAATGGGGTGTGCTGAGATAGTCGATGAGCCGCCGGGGTAACGGTAAGGTTGGGATCAAGTCCCTGCGCACCATCTTCAGGATGATGAACCTGCACGTATGCTGCAGGCTCTGCACCTGTTTGAAGCGCGACACCGGATGGAGCAGCTGTACCCGCATTGGGCCTAGAACTGGCCGTCGGTGTAGGAAGAAGAGATAGCGACCGCTGCGTGAATGCTCGACTGCGTTCTCAATAAAGTCAACGATAGTGTGCGACTTAAACTTCGTGCAGCTGCCGAAGCTAAAATTACCTGTATGTCGAAAGAAATGGATTTAAAGTGCACATGAAAACAAAAGTCGAGAATATTGTATATAGTGTGAAGAATAATAAACGATTTATTAAGACCGTATGTGAATACACAAGTAAGAATTTAATGCCTATTACAGTTGAAGCTGGATCTTAGATGCTTTTAAATAATTTCTATGTGAATTTTTATACTAAACATGTAGTCATTTGAACTGCGCGCCGAAATGATTTTTCGGACTTATAAACGCAATTAAACTATTATAGTAATATCACAAATTAAATTGATAAGCAATTTAATAATTTAATGCTCAATCTGGCATCCTATTAGAAACATGTTAATATACTGAAAAACTGTAAATAAATTTAATAAATAAAAGAAGGGCTACGAGCTAGTTACAATATAAAGAATATTTAATATTCGTACAAACGTTTCGACGCCGATCGGGTCATTTTCAATGTAAACACAAATAACATTACATAAATTGTCGAAGTATTAGGTCAGATTACAGTATCCAGTAAAACATATCGGTTATTTCCGTATTCCCTATTATTTGATGTGTGTGGTCCATATGTAAAATTAGCATCATTTGACTGATGTAAAAGTGATCTCCTCTTATTTAAAAAAAAAAATCTACAATCTTGATTTGTCGTAATGATGTGAGTCAGACGTTGAGAGAAAAACGCAAAATTAACGTTATGCAGTTAACGTCACCTGACATAGTCGAGGATACATGTGTTCTCACCAATATATCGTATCATGGTTTACCTTTATCTACTATATATGACTTAGTTAATTTTGCGTTTTTCTCTCAACGTCTGACTCACATCATTACGACAAATCAAGATTGTAGATTTTTTTTTTTAAATAAGATGAGATCACTTTTACATCAATCAAATGATGCTAATTTTACATATGGACCACACACATCAAATAATAGGGAATACGGAAATAACCGATATGTTTTACTGGATACTGTAATCTGACCGAATACTTCGACAATTTATGTAATGTTATTTGTGTTTACATTGAAAATGACCCGATCGGCGTCGAAACGTTTGTACGAATATTAAATATTTTTTATATTGTAACTGGCTCATAGCCCTTTTTTTATTTATTGATTTATTCTGATTGAGCCATATTAATAATTTATTTAGTAAATAAATTTATTGCAGAAAATATTACCTCGGCCGGGAATTGAACCCGGATCTCTTGTATTCCGTACGAGTGTCCTAAACCTTTAGACTAAAAAGCCTCGATAGTCTAAAGGCTTAGGACGCTCGTACGGAATATAAGAGATCCTGGTTCAACTCCCAGCCGAGGAGTAATGTAATATTTTCCGCAATGAATTTATTTACAATAGTTTAATTTATAAGTCTGAAAAATCATTTCGGCGCGCAGTTCAAAGACTACATATTTAGTATAAAAATTCACATAGAAATTATTTAAAAGTATCTAAGATCCAGCTTCGACCGTAATAGACATTAAACTCTTATTTATAGTGTGAAGGTAATAGAACTTACCCTGATCATGTTCTATCCTTACATGTCGCACACAACTGTTGAGTCTAAATGACAAGGAAAAAATGTAATGATCATCACTGCTGTCTCGCACGATGAATGAGCCATCCGGTTCGTTGGATAGTATCTTCTCCGCCGCTTCACCGGATATAGGTCCCCAATACCATCCATACTGTTTTAGAAAGCAAAAATACCACAGAATACTCTCAGTAACTCTTTCTCCTATCAAGAGTCAATAAAAAGAACAACAAAATTTACATACATCCTTTACTTTCTCGATACTGGCTGCAAAATCCATACTCGTGTCCTCAGCAGGATCTTCTTCTGGTCGCACGACAGGCGGCGGAACTTGCTGCTGTACTGAGCTCGGAGACTCACACTTGGGTGCCATTGCAGTAAGGGCTTCTTCCGCTTGCTCTACACCCACTTGACTATTACTCTTGGGCAGAGGTGGCAAAGCGCGCTTGAAGAATGGCAGCTTCTGTGCGGACGGCTCTACCTCAGATGGAGCGGTGTTATTGTTGTTTGTATGCTGATCGGAATCGACACCCTCTTCCTCTTCAACGATCTCTCCTTGTACGATGCTGTTCCGTTTCTCTACAAAGTGATCTGGAGAGCCTAGTCGTCGAAATCGGAAGATGTTACAGAGCGTCTGCTTGAGATTTAACGAGAAATTACGCTGACTCTTCTTCATTTTCTCTCGCTCGGATTCGCTCTTCTCCTTATGTGATTCGTCGCGCGCTTTCTTGTGTCTGATGCTAACAAATGCGTTCCTCTTGTGTTTCTTTACATTATTAGAATTATTGTTGTTATGATTGTTATTATTGTTGTTGTGATGATGGATCATCAGGCCGTTACTAGTGCTCTTATTAGACACCGGCGTGTCCGTGGACGAGTCCGTGTGCGCATTACTGTTATACCTATTATTAGAGAGCATTAGATATTATTAGATTAATGACAGAGCCAATTTGACAGTAGCCAAGAACATTTTGATACCTAATTCAAGTTATTTATATCAAAAGTAAAAGGAACAAAACAGTGTAGAATAAAAATTCATTATTAAAAAATTCTTTATTGAAAAATATTCTTTCGCTGATTATCTTATCCATAAAAATTATCATACTTACCTATTATTATTATTTACACTGAGGGCCTTAGGCGTTGCAGCGAGATGCACTGGTGTATGACCCAATAGAGGAGCCTTGTCCCGTTTGATCTTATTCTCGCTAGAATCGCTAGAGCTCGAGTACAACGTCTGTAGATACTGTCGCACCTCGTGCAAGGTCATGTGGATCGGTTCACCAATGTTATGTGCATGTCCGTTCGATGGTCTGACACTGTGACGACCAGAAGTACCCGGTACGCTGTGTCGTTTA